GTGAGGTGATGGAACTTGATTGTCGTGATTATTTCACAATGTATATGTAGAGCAAATCATCAAGTTGTACACCTTAAATAGATACAATTTTTATTTGTCAATCATAACTTAATAAAGCTGGAAAAGAAAAAAACTCAGAAGCTTCAAAGCAAAGGGATCTTAATAAGTGTTACAGTTATGACATAACGTCTTTAATGTTCCCTGAGAAACACACAGAAAAATTGGAATTACATTTAACTACTTCTGTTTTTGTTTAAGATACGACACCAGTATTGGGTCAAATGATACCTTGGAATTTACTCAGGTTACAAAGAAGTTTTAAAGGCTTTATCTATTTCTCAACCACCAATGACCAAGATAGACTTCAGAGCAAAGAAAATTACCAGAGACATTATACAAAAATAAAAGTGTCACTCCAGCAAAGATATACAGCTATCTTAAATGTGTATGCACCCAACAACATAGGTGCAAAACATGTGAAGAAATTGTGATAGAACTGAAAGGAGAAATAGACAAATCCACAATTAGAGTTGGAGGCTTCAATATTTCTCTCTCTCAACAAATGATAGAACAACTAGATAGAAAATCAGCAAGAGTAGAGTACAAGAAATCAACAATACCACCAACCAATAGTATCTAATCAACAAAACTCACATTCTTTTCAAGTGCCCGATATAGACTATATTCTGGGCCATAAAGTAAATTTCAAAAAATTTGAAAGATTTGAAGTCATACAGACTGTGTTCTCTGACAACAATGGAATTAAACCAGAATTCATTTTTTAAAAAGATAACAGAAAAATCTCTAAACACTTAGAAACTAGACAACACTTCTAAATAATATGGATCAAAAAAGAGAACTCAAAAGAAATTTTAAAATGTATCGAACTGAACAAAATGAAAATGCAACATACCAAAATTTGTAAAACACAGAAAAAGCAATGCTCAAAGGGAAATCTAAAGCACAAAATACTTACATTAGAAAAGAGGAAAAGTCTTGAATCAATAATAAACTCAAAACAAGTAAAAGGAAGAAAATAATAAAGGTAAGAGCAGAAATCAATAAAATTGAAAACAGAAAACAATAGAGAAAATCAATAAAACAAGAGAAGATTCTTCGAAAAGATCGATAACATTGACACCTCTAGCAAGACTGACAGAGAAGATACAAGTCACCAATGTCAGAAATGAAACAGAGAATATCGCTATAGGATCTGCAGACATCAATAGAATAAAAGAATAATAGATTTACACACATAAATTTGACAACTTAGATGAAATAAATTTCTCAAAAAACACAAACTACCATAGCTCCTCTAATATGAAATAGAAAATTTGAATAGCCCTATAATGATTAAGAAAATCAAATTCATAATAATAAAAAACTCCCAAAAAAGAAACCTCCAGGCCCAGATGTTTTTACTGAGAATTCTATCAAATTAAAATAAAGATAATTAACATCAACTCTACACAATCTCTTCCAGAAAACAGAAGAGGATACACTTCCCAATTTATTTTATAAAGCTAATATTACCCTGATACCAAAATCAGACAAAAGCAGTACCAAAAAAAAGAAAAAAACTACAAACCAATATCCCTTATGAATATAGACACAAAATCATTAAGAAAATATTAGCAAACAGAGTTTAGCAGTATATAAAAAGAATTATACACCATGATCAGACATGCAAAACTGTTTCAATATTTGAAAAATAAATCAATGCCATCTTACTTAACTAGAAAACAAAAGAACAAATGTGGCAAATTTGTTTGGGCACATGAGAAAATAAATAACTTGAAGCCAACCAAGTGGGGTGTTCACAGGAAGGAAAAAACTCATTTGGCTTTTGGTGCCTTTTTTATAACCATTTGTTACTTGTCTAATTAGGTGTGAAAAGCTCCATAATAATCCCTGTGGAGTGTTTCTTCTGGTAAAATCATTTGATGGTTTGGATGTAAAAATTCTCCATCACCTTGTAAAAATACTCCATCTCTACCACTTTGGGCTCCTATACTTAGCATGAATCTGAAAATATCTACATGCTGGTACTCACTGCTTCTTGGGGCCATTTGAAATTGAAAGGGTCTCAGTATTCTATTCCCATGCCTGGAGTAATGCTAAACAGTATGCAATTTCCCTTAGAAAGCACAAGATGAAAGTAGGGACCAAATGGGAGCAGCAGTTCTCACCCCTAGCAGCAGGAATCACCCAGGGAGAACCACTACTTTAGAGAAATACTGGCTAATTCCACCAGTTAACACCCACTAATCCAGTGGTTGGCAACGCAGCAGTTCTCACCCCTAGCAGCAGGAATCACCCAGGGAGAACCACTACTTTAGAGAAATATTGGCTAATTCCACCAGTTAACACCCACTAATCCAGTGGTTGGCAATACCTATTTCATATTAGAATCTCCTGGAGAGCTTTTAAAATGCTGATCCTGGGCTCCACCTTTAGGCCAATTATATCTGAACATCTGGGGCATGGGGTTGGGGCACGGGTACATTTTTAAAGCTATCCAGGTGATCCTAACATTGAACCAGGGTGAGAACAACTGCTCTAGTTCAGTAGTTCCTAAATTTCAGTTAGTATCACAATCTCCAGGAAAGCTTATTCAAACATAGGTTTCAAATAGGCAAATCTACAGAGACAGAAAGTAGATCAGTTGGCTCCCTAGGACTGGGGGATGAGAGGATGGGGAGGTGACCGCTAAGGGGTATGGGTTTCTTTGGGGGCTGAGACTTTCTAAAATTCATTGTGATGATTGTACAAGTCTGTGAATATATTTAAAGACATTGAATTGTGCTCTTTAAGTAGGTGAATTGTACATATCTGAATTATATCTCAATAAAGCTTCTAATACACACACACTCAGAGGTTTCTGCCCACCCTTGGAGATTCTGATGCACTAGGTCTGGAGTGGAGCCCAAGAATTTTTCTTTTTAAGGAGCTCCCAGGTGATAGTGATTCTGCAGGTCCACAGACCATACTGCTCTAACCCACAGAAAGGCACACATATTTAAACTTTCTAGGGTTTTAAGAGCATGATAATGTTTAATTGTCAGGGGGTTGTTTAATGTCAGGGACTATTTCTTCTGTTCTCCTGATCATAGAGGATCAGGTTGCCCCTGATGCTTCCAGGATTGTCTCATAGAGATGAGAGCCAGGATTGTAAAGGGATGAGGTGAACCCAGAGTGAGACCAGAAAGTGAGGACCGTGATGCCAGGGTGCACCCCCCAGTTCAACTGAGCACTATAGGAGGCCAGAGGAGAAGAAGAAAAGAAGAATAGAAAACCATCTTGGTTCTGTGTCATGTGTTGATATTGTGTCATGACCTAATGAGAAGGAAATGATAAATACCTACATATGAAAATCCAGATTTACAGAAAAAGGCAAAGCAAGACTTTCCATTCATTTTACAAAGCAATTCATCCCTAGAGATCCTTCAGAAAATTTAAACTATTGTATAATGTTTTACATGAATTTTCCCACAGTATTCCAGCAAAGCCAAACTATATAGATACAGGATAAACAGAGTTTCTACATCACGCAGAACAGAAATTCTCAGCAAAATGAGAGCCATGACAGGAGGACTGGGGACAGTGCTTTCTGTAGGAATGCCAACACCACTAGTGGCTTTGTTCTGCAAACCAGCTCTGGCACGGGTGCCAAGGCTGACACTGGACTACACCATAACCACCTTCTGGACTCTGGAATCTCTCCACCTGCGGTCACTCCCTGCCACACATCGTTAGTGCGGTCACTCCCTGCCACACATCGTTATTGCCTGCCTCCTACTCAAGCATGAGAAAAACCTCTAAACAACTCAACGTAATTCCTAGTTTGCCATTCAGTTGCTAGTGAGGTTGTCACTTGCTGATGCTAGAAGTAAAAGGAAATAAAGGGACCAAACTTTTTTTTAAATTCAGGTTTAAATATTAAAAAATAAACTTAAGTCACATTTTGTGATGTAGCATAATAGGAGAAAGACTTGGACTCAAATTAACTTGCACAGTAAAGTTATGCAATAGCTAAAAGCTTCCTCATCTGCTAGAAAAAAAAAGTTAGGGAGAGAAAAACAATGTACATAAACCACATTATAAATCACATATTCCAGTGCTTGGCTTATTAGAAAAATAAAAAATAATAATAATACCAGCCAACATTCATTGAGTGTCTTTTACTTACTAAATACTCTTCTAAGATTTATATTTCCATTAATTCATTTAATCCTCACAATACTCTATTACAGGGATCAGGAAACGTTTTCTGTAAAGGCCAAATAGCAAATATTGTTGGCTTCACAGGCCAAACAGTTCATATCCCAATCACTCAGCTCTTCTCTTATAGTTCAAAAGCAACCATAGACATCATGTAAGTGCATGGACATTTCTGTGTTTCAATAAAACTTTATTTATAAAAATAAGAGGTGGATCAGGTTTGGCCTGTGGGTCACACCTTGCCAAACTTGCTCCATGAGACAGGTACTATCATTATCTCCATTTTACAGATGAAAAAAATAGAGACACAAAGAGATCAACTGACAGCCCAAGGTTTCACATGAAGTCTGATTATGAAGTACACATTGTCAACTATTTAATCATAGCAGCTGCTGATATCACCATTGTTATTAGTAAGACTCTTAGTCCAAATCCAGGTTTTGCTAATTCAAAAGGTGCTGGCCAACAGTCAACAATACCCTCAGAGCCGCCTCAGAGGCTGAAGATCTAACTCAAATCCTCCCTCTTTCCCCTGGATGTTTCTGGTTGGAGTTTTCTCTGCCTCCTTTAAACCCTCAGTGAACTTACTCTCTACACCTCCAAGATGCATTGCCTTTTATTTATTATACACTTTCTCCCCAACCCCTTTGGAGGCTGTAATCATCACAGGGGCTCAATTCATATGTATTAATGCATCTGTGAGCCTGTTAGTAATGGTCTACGGGGCTGAGCTGCTAGGACCTGGGGCAGAGAGGGAGGTGATGGACCCAGGCACTCACCAATCCATAGCAGGCACTGAGGGCTGCTGTCCCAATTCTGGTGCCCTGCTGTAGAACTGTGCCCCTGAGATGGCAGCGGGGGGCTGAGGAAGCCATCATCTCGACACGGGAGAGGTTCCCGTATCTCTTCTCCACGATGTAGCTACTGGAAAGAAATCCCCGATTGACCGTCAGGTTGAAAAACAGGTCCTTCTCCTCGTGCAAAATTCTATAATACACTCGGTCTTCTGAGCCATCCAAATGTCTCTTCCTCCTGCTGCTGGTGCCAGGATGGTGCAAGCCATACGAAAGAAAATGCCCACTGGCATCTACTCGGACAGGAGTCACCACATGGTATTCTGGCAGGGCCTTGATAAAATGCTCTGAAAGAAAAAGAGACAAAGAATAAAATAGGGAGATCCATGCTGAGCATGCAGCAAGGCAAAGCTAATTCCATTTAGAACTTAGAATCTAGCGTTGACTGCAAAATCCCACTGTTGCCTTGAAGTTTAGAGATCCTTTCCACCATACAAATACCATCAACATTAAAGTCCCTGAACAGCTCAAATTTACGCCATGCTCCCTGCTCGGTGACATGTAACAGTCTTAGCTGACACTAAGGTATAGCTCTGGATATCAGATGTTTTACCAGAGACGAATTAAGATGAGAATTAACTCATGAGGAATACTGTTAGGAAAGGGCAAGATCAGCATGACGAACAGGAACATTTCAAGTCCAGAATTCATAGCACAAGTCACAGAGCTTAACTGTTTATTATAAGGTGTTTAAATGCCTCAGGAAGTTCCCATTAAATCAGGTTAGAGGGAAAAAACAGAAACACAGCAAACCTACCATATACACACTGACAAACCTCACACTAATTACAGCATAGGAGTGTTTCATAACGCAGCAAAGGGTGCTTAAAAGAACTTGGGTTTTTTTTTTTTTTTTTTTCTGTTTTAAAATTTCCTATTCTCCCTGAACCAGTACTTTTGTAAAAATGCAGCACACATATCACAGCGGCATCAGACTGCTGTAAAAGTTTTTATCTGCTCTCTCCGTTTTGGTTCTTCTCTTGTGGGCTGGCACCAGTCTGTGAGCCACCATTCAGGTAGCACTGGCCTAGAAAACATTTCAGAAAATAGTGCTAGGAAGAGAACCAAGTAGAATTATTCTGTGAAATAATTAAGATAATTTCCTAGAAAAGCAAGTAGAATTATTATTGTTTCACCACCAGTGAATTACTGTGCTGTGTTAATTTCCATGCCGGGACTGAGACTAGACCATCCTGAAGCAAAACAAACTAGTGCCAGGTTACTCTGTCACCTTCTCTTGGGTGTGTCCCTCATCATGGTTCTGCTCCCACCCACCACTCCAGAATAGCAGCCACCTCACCAGCTGTGTTATTTGCACCTCAAGCCTGACCTGACACCATTGGCCACACAATTGCTATTTTTATAGCTCTGTTCGCTGCCCGTATCTCCATTTTGCACCCTGTGTGATCCCAGTGAGTCCTCAGCTGCAGTGATAGATTCTTATTCTGCTCTTCTTCTGGGGGACCTGTCTGGCATAACCCTTCCTTGCCTGGTCCCTTTCATCCCTGGTGGTTCCATACTTGCAAAAGTGGTTGACGGAGTCTCTCCTAGTGCCTCGTAGGGCCTTATGTGCCCTGCCTAACTCTGTTTCAGCGTTAAGCTAATATTCTAGCACTCATTTATTCTCATCCCAATAAATGGGTATTTTTAGAAAACATGATAATAATGAACCCTTCTGTATAAAACTTCAGGCACCCCTTGGTACATCCTTACAGGATGACTTGGCTTCCTGAACTTTGAGTTTTTGTCTGTTCTTGCTGGTACTTGAACACTTTATTTCTAGCTCAGGCTCAGAATTTGAAGTGGAGAGGAGGCCTCATGCGTTTGTGAGCTCATATGTTCTCAGTTTGCCAGGGAACCTCTGTGCAGCATTGTTTGTGCTATCCTCTGAGGGAAGCAGGGTCGGGTAGGGGCTTAAGTGCAAGCTTGGAGGACTAGGCAAACCTGAAAGGAGCTGGGCTGTGCCTTTCACCAGCTGCATGACTTTGGGCAAACTGGTTAATCTTTTGAGCCTCTGTAAATTGCAAGTAATAGTAGAGCAAATTCCAGGATTAAATGAAATGCTTGGT